GCTGACCAAAAGTTTGGCAGTTTGAATCCGGGGAGTGGGGTGAGCTTCCGCTGTCAGCCCCAGCTTCTGCCAACCTAGCAGTTCAAAAATATGTAAAAATGTGAGTACATCAATAGGTACCACTTTGGCAGGAAGGTAATAGTGCTCCATGTAGTCATGCTGGCCACATCACTTTGGAGGTGTCTACGGACAACACTGACTGTTCAGCTTGGAAATGGAGATGAGCACCAACGCACAGAGTCGGATACGACTGGACTTAATGTTAAGGGAAAACCTTTAACTTTACTATACTTTGTTAGATTGTTTTCCTTTTCCGACACACACACACAATCATACATACTTTTAAGAATTATAAAGAGCTGAGGGCCCCATGGCATACAACCACTTCCCATAACTATTACCAAAATATTCATGGAAAAGTCCAGAAGTTTTCATGGGGGATGATAATCGTCTTTGGGATAAAAGGTCAGTGTAGATGTGCCCATAGTCAAGCATATCCCTCCTTAGTGAACTATGATGCAGATGTGATTGATGGGAACGAGAGACAGGGCCTTCTCAGCGGTGCCCCCTCGGCTATGGAACGCCCTCCCTAGGGATATTAGATCGGCCCCCTCCCTCCTAACATCTTGAATGAGAGTCAAAACCTGGCTTTTTGAGCATTTGCAAAGGCAGCATAATAGGCAATTTTAGATCCATGGAACTGATGAGACGATGCGACTAGAAAATGATTTTAGTAATGAGACGTTGAGGACTTGTGCTTTATTGCTTTTATTGTTTTTATATGACTTATATTATATATTAATGTCTTAATTATATTTTATGTTATTGGGGGCATTGAATGTTGCCATTTTTAAACTGCCCTGAGTCACCTCCGGGCTGAGAAAGGCGGTATATAAATATGGTAAACAAATAAACAAACAAATTAATTAATAAATATGATGATCCTATTAATGGAGACTTGGAAACACCTGCCTCAAGCAGACAAGAGTTTTTTTTCTCCCACCCTGGACAGTTCACAGATATATAAACCACACCTGCCTAGTTTCTAACAGACCTCACCAGCTCCGAGGATGCCTGCCATAGATGTGGGTGAAACGTCAGAAGAGAATGCTTCTGGAACATGGCCATACAGCCCGGAAAACTCAACCCAATGTTCTTATTCATATCCGTCTCTGACAGCTGCTGGGGAGAAAGCTTTGGATGGTGAAGAACCCCATTTACTTCATCTAATATATATATATACACATACATATATGTAACCAACAGGGTTCCAGCCTATAGCAGGTTGTCATAAAACATGGATGTCCTAGAAGGAACTACTAAATTAAACCAGGCAAGTGCAATTAAAATATTAGTGTTTTCGTTCAGTATTCCAGACAGAACCATTTTCAACTCCCTATCAGAGAAATGTATACGGTATCACAGCGAGTACGGTTTGACAGAAATTTAAACTGAAAACAATGGTTTTTGACAGTGGAATTTCTAAAATTAGCCATTCGTTCCCTTATTGCTTAATTGCCAATAACGCAGACGTAAGGAAGAGTTAAAGTTCTAATTAAAAACCACTAACTCACATTTCAACCAATGCTATCTTTACATTTGTCAGCCTTTAGAGCAACTGCCACCCACCAAAAATGATACCTAAGGCCACCAGCAAAAAAAAAAAAAATGTAATTACATCTTCAATTTCTTAAACAAGTTACTCTTAAGCAAGTATTCTAGATTTTAATTAAAAGTTGCAGAGGAAAGCAATAAGTATACAATAAGCTGTTGATCTGAAAGTGTGTCTTTCATTTTATAATAAGTTTGGGTTGCAAACAATATGGAGGTCTCCAGCTTTGTTGAATAAATTTTTGTAGAGGCAGCATAGGATTTATTTTTAGACTGAAAAGGAATCATGAAACCACAATTAAAATATTTATATATTTGACTGAGAGTTTGTATTGTCTATTGTAGTATCAGGAGGAAGGAGGCATTGGTTATGGTTTGGCAGGGCACCAGCACTATTTGGTAGAGAAAGCTAAAGACTTTGCAAAACTCCAATAATTCCATAACATTGAGCCATGGCAGTTAA